CCTTCAAAGTATATAGGCACAAAATTAGTGGAATATCTTGTAATTATCTTTCAAAAATTTTAATTTGTGCCGCCAAAGTCAATCCTTATGAACAACTGATAACAGAAGGGGCTTTGAGGCTGGAAAATGAGGAACAGCAATGCATTATAAATGTATCCTCTCAGAAAATGTTAAATAGAGCTGTAATTCACATCTTTCATTCAATTACTTACTAGGTTTGTTTTGGTTCATCTTCACATTAGGTTTTGTCAGTTTGGGTTTCTTGATAAATGTCCCACCTGGTTTATTATACGGCTGCTGTATCATTTTTCTCTTTATTCCTCGTGCAGCTACTGCTGCAGAACTGGGTTTGTTATGATAGTCTACCACAATTCCAGGTCTATGCATGCCTCCAAAGTCTCCCATATACTGTAAATAGGTGAAGACCAAGTATTAGAAAATGATGTGGCTGACCATAAACAAACTAGCTTACATAAAAACATATTTTAAAATATTTTAACTCAAGAAAAAAACACAGTACTAAGTTAACACACATCAGGAATGCAAACTGATTAGTTTTTAAAATATTTGACTTAAAGTGCTTATATCAAATGGATTTCTGCTTATTCAAAATCATTGGTCCAGACTATGAGCCTTGCTAGAATTTTATCCATATTCATTCTCAGGATTCTCAAATAATGCCTCAAACAAACAGAAGAAAATTTATTTCTACAAAACAATAATACAAGAATGCAAACTTAGGGAAAAACAAAAATAATCATGAAAGTCTCTGCCTGAAACATTCATAGTTTCTCTTTTATTATGATTTAAAAAGTTTTAAAATAACCTTTTGATGGTTTAAAATTTGCTCATATGTATGTAAGATTTTCTGTGTATGATATTGTCTATGTTTAAAATTAGTTAGTATCCAAATAATTTTTATCTCTTAACACTGTAATGGGATTCCAGTTTCATACTTCACACTTTTTGCTTATGTAAAATACATTTTACTTTCAAACTTTATTTTTCCTATTTCCCTTTTTCTCACAGTTTGTATATTTTATTCTTTATTCAGAGTATAATCTCAAGCATGTCAACTCAGAAATAAGTGCTACCAGTAGGAAGTTCAAACTGTACATGGAATAAGTCTTATTGAACTCATGGGAATTTCTTCTAAAAATACATGGAGAAGGTAAGTTTATTGTTTTGAGATAACATATCTCATATTTTCCTATTTTCACTAAAACAATAAGTTCCAAGTAAATACACATAGATTTTTTTATGTGAGGCAGGGATTTTAAGATTATGTAAATACTATAAATATGTAAAATAGTCAGTCCTGTATTAATTTAGAGTAGATAAAAAGCTAACTTTCATAAAATGTCTTTTCTTTTCCCCCTCATATAACAAACAAACCTAGTGGAATGCATTAGCCATATTAAAACTGATTAGAAATCTTACATCTTTATCAACAGTTCAACCCAATCAGCAGTTTGTGTGTGATGTGTGTGTATCCATCCCCACCCCCACCCCCATTGAGATAATTGCGTAATGTATATAATCTCAACAATTTAAAAAGTATATAAATATTTGAAGGAGCAATGAGAAAAGTAAAATATTAGCCCCTCTTAGATCAAATTCTTTCCAAAGGAAAAAATAAAATTTAGAATATCAACAAAGTGGTAAAAAAATTTCTAATCTTAATTTGGACATCTATCTTGTAATCAATAGAGCATACATAATTGAATTCATTGATTTTAAGACACTGAATGACAGAACAAACTGAAGACAAGGAATGAGTATAATAGTTATAATTTAAGCTGCAATCTGCAATACTAACTTGGGAGTTAGTAGCACTTACTTCTGAATAAACATGCAAAGATTCTACTGTTCACTGACAGTAACATGTAAGATAGGCTCATGTGACTGGATGAGTGAAATTATATAAGCAGAAATAAGTAAACTGCCATAAATATTTAATAATAAAAATTATTAACAGTAGACACAGTAAAGGCAGTACATCTACACAATATTTCTTTACTTTGAGTTGCATTTATTCCTAGCAGGCCACAATGTGTTAGAGATCATTATATTAAATAAATCCATGCATATGTTCTATATTTCACTTTGTAACAAACTGGGCTCTAGTAAATAACAGTCTAGCAATATTCTCACCCTGCATATTACATACATCAAAGGACACTTTCTAGGTGATGTACATTTGCACGAGCAAATATTTTCAGAATCTATTAAAGGTGCAATGCATTTCACATAAACAAGCAGCTTATTTCTTAAAGTAGTTAGTTCTCAAGAGTAACATTAAGCTCAAGAAAAAGAGAAACTACTCAATACTGCTTAGTTAACTTAATTTCACAAACGTACCAGACTAAACAAATCAGCTCATTCCTTTATCAACAAATTATAGAAATATTACTAGACTTCCTAGGTCTATGGATTAAATGCCAATTGTACCCTTCAGAGTATCACATTAATAAATCAATTAAAATATAGTAATAGGCATGCAAAAAACTTTAAAATATTCTAGTCTACATTTACTCCTCCAATCTACTTTAAACTTTTAATTGTTTTCTTCAGGCCAGCTTCTTGAAACTCAGTATTTAAAGAGTTTTAAGAGAGCATCTATTGATTATCAACTGAAATGGAACTCTGTATAAATTCAAACATGAAATTATAAAGTATGTTAATAGGATATCATCTTATATCTTGAAGCTTCCTGAAGTTTAAGATGCTGTTAATGATGTTTTGATTTGGTAGGATAATATTTGATATTTGTTTATAATCTTTGAATTGTTCTTTTGAACTTGCACTAAAACATTAGATCCAGCGTATGAGAATATCTAGTACTGAATTATAACACAACAGTTGACTAACATAGATTTACACTGTTACCTTTCTTTCAGCATGAACAATTCTGATGATATCCCTTTAACAATGGTTTGAAATTATGCTTTAATTCTTGCCTGTATTAAATCTTCCCTTCCATGTAAGTCTCAGTGACCTTAAAGTAAGCTGAAATTGAGCATGTAGAACTAATTGCTTCCTGCCTCAACAAAATCTGTTCTGTGGCATTTATTCTCTAAAATCAATAGTATACATACATTGCACCTTTAACCTACTCAAAATGAAAAAAGGTTCTAATTAACCTTTACAAAGTTTCAAGACTTCTCCCACTAGCCAAGATGCTAGTGTTAACAAGGAAAAATGCAATTCCTTTTAACCCCTTTTAGACCAAACCCATTGCCTTAATATTCACCTTTCACAAAAAAAGTGATTTGATAAAACCTTAGCCACTAATCTTGTAGCGCTTTTACTTGTGTAAATGAAGAGAGAGAGAGAGAGAGAGGGTACTAAGTTCTGGGTAAATACCAAACCGGATTGGAAGGTTATCAACCCTAATAGTTTGGCAAAAACTGCAGTGCGATATACAGTGCTTTTGTTTTAATGCTATGGTCTTGAAAGGGTTTAAAAGAGTCACTAGTGAAAAGAATCTGAAAAGATTCTGTACTTACTCCTCGGCCACGGCCTCTGCCTGTTGATGGTCCTCCAAAAGCATCATAGTTTCTGCTTCCAAATCCACTGTCAGGATAAGCAGGCGTTCCTCTCCCCCGAGAGCCTACAGGTGCAGGCTTCACATGGGGTGAAGAAAAACTGCTGTAGGAAGAGTAAGTCTCTCTTCCTCTGTCCTCCATAAACCCAGGCCTCAATTTTGAGCGTGAGTAAGGTGCTTCCCAGCTAGACCCGCCCTGGTTTCTACCTCCGAAAGAGTCAAGGCTATTCCGGTAGTTGCTGTCAAATCGACCACCATAACTACCTCCGAAGCGGCTTTGTTCGGGTTCATTATAACCATAGCCAGATCTGTACAGATCTCGCCCACCCAGAGAAGACCCGGAGTCGTAAGACTCATAAGGTCCAAACCTGGAAAAGTTGTAGTGAGGAAAAAAAAAGTAAGCTTACTAAAGTTAAAACATTTCAAAAGACAAGTTATCAGTTGACATTTATCAACTAAAATCAATGAATATTCTACTTTAGTAGGGTTTGCTTTGATTAGGGCTGGGCATTTCCGTGCTGTGATCAGACAGAAAGCTATCTGAGTCACTTTTCAGTTAAAAATAGTATTAAAATTCAGAATGCCTAAATTTCACTAAATTTAGTTGCTCAAAATTATTATTTCACCTCATTATTGTGCCCAGACCTAGTCTAACGAATGCAGGCACCTGCATATTTTAAAGTTCATAAAACTCTTTTGTTTAAAGTCATGCCTAAAACAGTTCAATAGCATTTGAAAGACGTTGCTCTCAACTTAGAAGCTGTGACAGTATTAATAACACAACTATTTTAATTTGATATTTCAATGGTTCATAGTTCAGTTATATCTTATAGAAGAAATCTAAATAATTTTCCTTAACTACTAGCATGCCTCATCTTCTACTATTACATTTACAATGTGTTAGAGAGGAGTGGGAAATCTATGACCCTCCAAATGTTGTTGGATGGTAGTTTTCATGAGCCCCAGAATGAAAGGCCAAGAAATGCTAGATTTTGGAAACATTTAGAAGGTCATAGATTCACCTACCTCTGTTTGTAGGGAATAAGACAAAGAACTTTTATAGAACTGAAAAGTCAAAATAAATCTTAAATATTAATGACCCTTTAGCACAGAGAAAGGCTGTATATTAAATGCAAATACTATATTACCAAAAAGCTGTATGCAGCATTTAAAAAAGATATTAATTGAAGAACAGAAAAAAAAGTGCATAGGGTAACATCAATGTCATATACTGCATAGAAATGGGAAATCATTTTCATCCCAAAAAATTAACTATATTTTAATTCTTAAACTTGAAAAGAAACTTCTAATAATTTAAAATCACAATATGAGAAGGCTAAATTTATCTTCTCTCCAGTTCATACTTTAAATATAAAACTTTCATATTTAAAATGCCAACTACAAAGCAGTCCATTACAACAATAAACTTTTTATATAATGCATTCAGTAAATTCCAACCATATTCAGATTACTAAATGGTAGGTACATTTTTTCCTGATTCTCAAAATAGTTTACATCAATGTTAGTTATATTAATTGTTGAAAAGCACTGTGCATTTATACAGCTAATCTCCCAATTCCTTAAAAATTAATGCCACAAAAAAACTGGAGGAATCCAATTGTCAATCCATGTTCTTCTTGCTGCCATTGAAGAGTTAGAATATGCAAATGAGACTGCAACCAGGATTAATATATTATACAGTTATTTTGTTTAAAATGCAGAGTTCTTATAAGAAAGCCAAATTTAGAATAAAATTGTGATCTGACATTAGTAAACATCAACTGCAGGCACAGTGAAAAATCAAACTGTCAGAAATATTACTACAGTGCTAGGAACAATTTTAAAACACTGCAAAAAAGTGTGCTTTAGTGTAATTAGTACCTGCCAATAAAATAATCTGGACATGAAAAGCTGTCTACCAATGAATATTCTTGCAAAAGATATTACTATTCAAATTAAATTTAAGTGTTCCTTTCAAACAGAATGGGGAAACAAAAGCAGCAGTTCTGATCCAATTAAGAGCATTTCAGATCTGTGCTAATATTTAATTGCTAGATTTTTTAAGATCACTTGTTGAAATAGATTTTAAGAGAGATCTGAGATAAAACATGTGTTGCAGCATTATATTTTATATAAAAACATTTATTTTAAAATATGCTATACATTACATCTCTGCATAATAACACACCATGCCCTGCAATATGCTTAAGGAACACTTAAATTGGATAGAGGTATACTGCAGAATATATTTATATTATCTTTGACATACAAAGCAAATGATTCAGTATTTTACCTGGCACTGCCTCCTCCTCCTCCTCCTCCTCCTCCTCCTCCTCCACCACCACCACTGCCGCCTCCATGGCTTTCCATTCCATATGACTGATTCATATAAGAGTCCATAACTCTTGGGACACTATAGGCACCATGCCCATAGTCCCGGTCGATTTCTTTAAAAAAAGAAGGGTTAAGATTACTGAACTGTTGCAGATGAATAAATTAGGCACTCAACTTACAACCACAATTGGGACTAGCATCTGTCACTAAGCAATGTGGTTAACTGAGTTGCATCCAATTTTACAACCGTTTTGCTCCTATTGTTTAGTGAATTGTAGGATTAAGTGAATTCAGCTTTCCCCATTGATTTTGCTTATGAGAAGCCCCCTGAAAATGTTGCAAATGTTGATCATGTGATCCCAGGACCCCTGTAACCCTCATAAATATATGCCATTTGCCAAATACCTAAATATTCACCATGTGACTATGGGATGCTAGGATATAGGTGCAAGGACTGGTTACAAATCACATTTTTCAGTGCCGTCATAACTTTTGTCATTAAATGTCAAGACCTACTTGAATTCCAGTCCCAAAATTAACTTATAATAGATATTACCAAGACATTTACTACCATACAGCAAGACCACAGAGATTCATTCTGCTTTCTGGTTCAACTAAGGAGGCTAATTTGCAGAAAAGCAGCTAGAAGAGATGGGACTGAGCAAATGAAGCTCAAGCATTCCATATTTATTTGTTTCAAAAATAAATTAAAATCTGAGAAAAGGGCCACAGGATCATCAAGAAGGTTTTTGCCAAAAATATTAAAATTTTACTTCTTCTAAGAGTTCTTTTTAACGTGGTTCAACAGTAATACTATTATGCATGCTGCGCTACATTTACCCTCAATAAAATATTTCATTTCTCATAATTTTAGCGATTAATATAGGATTTAAAATTATATAGTTCACTTTTTTAACTGAGTCTATCAAATGCAAGTCAACTAATCATATTAAACTTAAACATTTCTGAGAAATTTTAAGATTAAAATTCTAGAAATTCTGTTTTAGTGACTTAAAGAACACATAGAATGGCAAGGAATTTGCACAAAGAACAAAATGTTGCAAATGCTTTAATCAGCTACAGACAAGCTTGATAATAAGAGAAAAAGGGTTAAATAAAAGTAGGATCATACATGAGGCATACCCAAGGAAACATCTGGGAAAAGATCGTGGTACTAGAATATTTCCTTTTATGTACTTTTTTTTGTTCACACAAAGGTCATCAACTTCAAATCTGCTGCCAGCAATTGTCCCCAAATGGCATCCTGTAGGGCCCGGCACAAGCAAGACATAGAACAGGGGTCTTCAAACTTGGCCCTTTTATGACTTGTGGACTTCAACTCCCAGAATTCCTCAGCCAGCGTGCCTGGGAGTTGAAGTCCACAAGTCATAAAAGGGCCAAGTTTGAAGACCCCTGGCCTAATCTTTCATGTAATGCCAGCTGGTTTTTAAGAGGGAGAAGTGATGAGTTTAAATTACCAAATTGTTGTAAAGGACAAACAAAACAAAATATACAGAACACAGAATTGAATGTTTTATTATTCTAAATCCATAATTGGATCATTCCTGGTGAGATGTAACTAGGTTTAATACTCATTTCCTAGAATGGGAGAAAAATAATATATGGGGATTAAAATGCCTTTCAACTTCTTGCACTGAGATTTATCACATCATTAATTAATGCACAGCAAATATAGATTAGAGGAGGCAAAGCTAAGATGGCAACAAAGCAGCAATTTCTTCATAAGCAGCTACTTATGATATTTTATTTGGTATCTATTTTTATAACTTAACCACACAGAGCAAATTAATTCTGGCCATATAAGCTTTTACATATGTATACATTTACCAGCCAAAACTATCAACTTCTATAAAAGTACCCTACTACTTCCATGAAACTACTCAGTTACTACAGTGTCAGTGAAATGTTTTAATCTCAAAGTGCAGCTGATTTAGCATATCTAAAATATCCTTTCCAGAATCAATAGTTAAAACTATGTCAATACTTACAGAAATTATTTTCAAATATATTGAGCACGAGAATGCATTCATTATAGGTAGTAGTAGACGTACAACTGTGGAAGCCAGTCTGTCGTAAGTTAAAATGATTGTAAGTCAAAGCACCTACAGGACCAACCCAATTTTATTACCTTTTTTGCAGCAGTTGTAAAGCAAATGCAGCAGCTGTTAAGTGAGTCATTGCATTCCTATGAGCATATTTTTGCCAGAAACTGTCTGAAAAAGTTGGTTTCCAGCAAAAAAAACCATCACAAATCTCTTCTTGTGACAGCAGAATGTGGAAACCAGCAGTAAAAGCAAGTTTGTTGCCATGTGCCCAAAATGCATGTAACTATAGTGGTAAGATGTGCCACTATTGGAACTCTAGAACCAGTTCATAAGTATTTGGGGAGGGGTGTGTGTCATAAGTTTGATTGATCGCTAAGCTCTGGTCTTTAAGCAATGGTTATCATTATGTGGTGCTGAGTCAGGACTGGTGACAGAGTACAAATATCATTCATCTCTATTTGCCACTGGTGTCAATTGACAGTTCTTCCAAGGATCCCATCTTCCACCTTATCTGCTGTCTCTTCCATCATCTGCCACTCTACATAAGCAAAACTCATTCCCTCAAGGGAGAAGTCCGTCTTTATTTTATCTGGGACCTACAGACTTGCCTTCTTTCAATACACAACACACTCTAAAGCTGTGAAGCTATCTTATCTTCTTTTTCTCTCTCAATGTGCAA